TAAGGACCGGCATAAATATAATTGGATGAGGCCATCTGGGGCCGAGGGAAGAGCATGAGTACAGACAATGTCAGGATTCAGCCTAAAACAGTAAAAATAGATAATATGGTTTTTTTGGTTTTTTTGTTTTTGTTTTTGTTTTTTTGAGACGGAGTTTCGCTCTTGTTACTCAGGCTGGAGTAGTGCAATGGCGCGATCTTGGCTCACCACAACCTCCGCCTCCTGGGTTCAGGCAATTCTCCTGCCTCAGCCTCCTGAGTAGCTGGGATTACAGGCATGCGACACCATGCCCAGCTAATTTTTTGTATTTTTAGTAGAGACGGGGTTTCACCATGTTGACCAGCATGGTCTTGATCTCTTGACCTCGTGATCCACCCGCCTCGGCCTCCCAAAGTGCTGGGATTACAGGCTTGAGCCACTGTGCCCGGCAAAATAGATAATATTTACTGAAGACTATTCAGTACACTTCTAGGCTTGCTACATAGCTTATCTCATTTAATCCTCACATTAGCTTCATTTTCACACAAGTAAGTGTACAAACATTGAATAACTGACCAAAGATAAAACAGTTAGAAAGCAGCAAAGCCTAGGTATAAAAGTGCCCAGTTTGGGCTGCAAAGCCCATCTCCTTTACCACTGCCCTAGGTGGCTCACGAAAATTTTTTATCTCAGCAGTTTTTCTTGCCACCAACAAATAGCTTAAAATTAAATGTCAAGAAACAAAGCCTGGTTAAGGTTAAGTGTCGGTAGGCAACTGGCAGAACACAGCCTTATCCTAGTCAGAAGGTAACTGAAGGCAGTATTATATGCTATGCAGACTTTACCTACTTTCTTTTTCTTTTTTTTTTTTTTTTTTTTTTTTTTTTTTTTTTTGAGACAGAATCTTGCTCTGTCACCCAGGCTGGAGTGGTGTAATGGTTTGATCTTGGATCACTGCAACCTCCACCTCCCAGGCTCAGGTGATTCTTCTGCCTCAGCCTCCCAAGCAGCTGGGATTACAGACATGAGCCACTGCGCCTGGCCACCTTACCTACTTTCAAAAGGACTTGAAGTAGCAAATGCTCCCATTTCACTGATGAAAGGCTGTAAAGTTTAGGTGCCTTTAATGATTGCATCACTTGCTTTCACTAGCAAGAAAAAGGAAAAAGAAGGAATGCTGGGCACGTTAGCTCACCCCTGTAATCTCAGCACTTTAGGAAGCCAAGAAGGGCAAATCTCGAGGTCAGGAGTTCAAGACCAGCCTGACCAACATGGTGAAACCTCATCTCCACTAATAATAGAAAAATTACCCAGGTGTGGTGGCATGAGCCTATAATCCCAGCTACTCAGGAAGCTTAAGCAGGAGAACTGCTTGAACCCAGGAGGTGGAGGTTGCAGTGAGCTGAGATCACAGCCACTGCACTCCAGCCTGGGAGACAGAGTAAAACTCTGTCTCAAAAAAAAAAGAAAAGAAAAGAAAAAATAAATAAAGATTCTATCATTGTTCTATGAAGGTAGCAAGGTTGGCATTCAAAGCTCATGACCTCCAAGATGGTGTCTTTTCTGTATACCCTACTACTGATTATAGTTCAAAACAAAAGAAAAAAAAAACTTGTATGCATTATCTTGTGTTCTGATTTTTTAAAATACTTTTAAATATTTACTCTGAAAAAAATGCCTGGCCTTTTTAAAAACTAAAAATGTTTGAAAATGATGATATTCTCTGAGTTATTGATAGATTAATAGTTAATTGGGAGTCAGACTAGAAAATTCGCTTTGTGTTGCTTGAACTTCAAAGGAAAGATCATAGGAGGTAAGTTAGCTGAGTAGAAGTTGTGCTCTGATGAAAAAATCGGACATAAAGTAAGGGATGGTGGCAAAAATATTAAGGGAAAAATATTAAAGAAAGTTATATAGTCTCAAACCCTTTTGGAAGGCCTAAGGGTTTTTTCTATAGTTCTTGGCTGAAGGCAGCCAGAGTCCCTTTGCTGGAGCCAGAGAGATTAGGGCACAAATACAAAGGAAAGTAGGTAGTTTCCCTAACTAACTTGTTTACTCATGTGGTCTTTAAACTGTAAGCCTGATGGACCTCTCGGGGTGCTGTCAGGGGGAGGTCAACCAGGGGTATTACCCACTAATGGTGTTTGCTTTGGGCATCAGAACCTGGTCTTTAATCTTCAACCTCTAGTGGTATTGACTCAAGCCTTAGTCAATTAAACTTTACTAAATAAATGTGAGTCTCACTGGCTGGGGAGGACCAGCAGCTATTGTCTCTTTCCAGTACTCTCCAGGGAGTCTATAGGCAGTAACGGGCTCTCAGTTGAACTGGCAAAGCATAATATCTGTGTGTCAGTGTACTTTATTCATCCGTCTCTGAGTCAGGGTCTGCAGGACAGACCCCCACAGGTGGTGACCCCAAAAGTAAAGTACAGTGAAATTCAGAGAGCTCAGTGGTTAACAGCAGGACCAGACATTGGCCTCAGTATGGTCGGAACATGGAGGGAAGGTGTACAAAGACACATCAGAGATACACACAGCAGGACATTAGTTAAAGCAGCAAAAACAGATTTTATTCAGTAACTACTAACAGTAGAGGAATGAGCTAGGCTCCATTGTGATTTATGCAGAGGTGATTCAAGCGTTTTAGAAGGAGAATGAATGAAGAATGGGCGAGAGTGAGGTCTCAGTAGGGTCACAGAAGTGAAAAATTGCAAAAAATTTGTCAGTGTCTGTGAGTTAAGGCCAGCTGTGTCTGCCAGCTGGCAATTATCAAAGATAGGATTCCATTCCACCCTCCCACAGAGACTGGAAGACAGAATCTCCATCTTTTTTGATGATTCCATTTCAAAGGAATGGCACTCAGGTCCTTAAGACAGACATTTCTGAGTTCTAAGAGATAGATGCTCACAATCATAAGCCCTTTTTTGTAAATGCTCTAAGAAAAGGAGGTCACAGGCCTATCATCAGAGTTTGGGTAAGACAAACCATAAATTCTCCTGGCAGTGTTGAACTTAGGCAGGCATTTAATGCAGGGCTGGGGTCTTTCTAAGGAAACAGCCTTATGTTACTAAAGCCATGTGAGAGTTTGGTCTAGTTCAGGGATTTGGACAGAGTTGTTATGTGCTGAGAGTTCTGCAGTTCTCAGGAGCACGAGGTTTGGGGGATAACAGTGATACTCATATCCTAATTGTAGTGTCAGTTTCACAGGTGTGTGTGTGTGTGTGTGTGTGTGTGTGTGTCAAAACTTATCAAGTTGTACCTTATTAATATGTGCAGTTTACAGTATGTAAGTTGTACCTCGACAAAGCTGATTTTAAAAATGAAAAAGCTACCGGAGGCAATTTCACTTTAAGCAGTTTGCAAAACCCAAAAGACATCCAGAAGCTTGTCAGCACCCAAAGTGGTACTTATTTTAAATGTTCTTTTCAAGAACAGAGTGGAAAGTGGAAGGAGTTAAATTAGGATTTACCAGAAGTGATGTTTAGCAATAAAAGTTAAAAAGAGTGTTTCTTTGCATTGTACTCTAATTGTTTTATCCTTTGGCTTCTCTACTCTTTAAAAATTAATTTTTTTAAGATAAAGATCTCACTCTATCACCCAGGCTCCAGTGCAGTGGCACAATCTCAGCTCAGTGCAACCTCCGCCTTCTGGGTTCAAGAAATTCTTGTGCCTCAGCCTCCCAAGTAACTGGAACTACAGGTACGTGCCACCACATCCAACTAATTTTTTGTATTTTGGTAGAGACGGGGTTTCACCATGTTGCTCAAGCTGGTCTCAAACTCTAGAACTCAGACAATCTGACTGCCTCAGCCTCCCAAAGTTCTGGGATTACAGGCATAAGCCACCATGCCACGCTTTTTTTCTTTTTTCTTTTTTCTTTTTTTTTTTTTCGCATTTTAGGTTTTGAGGTACATGTGAAGAAGCCAAGCTTTATTTCTTAAAGCAGTTTTAGATTCACAGAAAAATTAAACTGAAAGTACAGGGTTCTCATATACCTGTTCTCCCCGTCAACACCACAGTTTCCCCTATTATTAATATCCCTCATTAGTCAACAATTGAATAAATACAGATACTTTTTTTTTTTTTTTTGAGACAGGTTCTCAATCTGTCAGACTGGAGTGCAGTGGTGCAATCTCAACTAACTGCAACCTCAGTCTCCAGGGGCTCACACGGTCCCTCCCAGGTAGCTGGGACCAGAGACTGCATGCCACTACACCCCACTAATTTTTGTATTTTTAGTAGAGACAGAGTTTCACCGTGTTGGTCAGGCTGGTATCGAACTCTTAGCCTCAAGCAATCCTTTTGCCTTGGCTTCCCAAAGTGCTGGGATTATAGACGAGAGCCACTGCACCCAGCCAGAGTTTAGTAAATTTTTAAGAGGAACATATAATATATAACATTTTGCAAAGTGAAAGTTTTAATAAGAATTATCTGAATACGCTGACATATATATACTTTAACTAATTATACTGTGGGAAGCTCACTCTTCAGTGTGCTCTGAGAAAACTCAAGAAACACCATCCGCTGGAGACAGTGCCCTGAAGTGTAAGCATCTATGTCAAAAGGGGAAATCACCCTTAAAAATAACCCCAAAGCGGCCGGGCGCGGTGGCTCAAGCCTGTAATCCCAGCACTTTGGGAGGCCGAGTTAGGTGGATCACGAGGTCAAGAGATTGAGACCATCCTGGTCAACATGGTGAAACCCCGTCTCTACTAAAAATACAAAAAAATTAGCTGGGCATGGTGGCGCGTGCCTGTAATCCCAGCTACTCAGGAGGCTGAGGCAGGAGAATTGCCTGAACCCAGGAGGCGGAGGTTGCAGTGAGCCGAGATTGCGCCATTGCATTCCAGCCTGGGTAACAAGAGTGAAACTCTGTCTCAAAAAAAAAAAAAAGAAAAGAAAAAAATAATAAAATAACCCCAAAGCATACAACTCCCAGTCCTTTTGTTTTGAATGATGTGCCTTCTATAACGAAAGTATCTCTCCCCAGGTAGTTGAAGAACAAGAAGAAACATGAAGCCATGGAGCAGGGAAATTACACCAGGGTGAAGGAATTTCTTTTTCAAGGACTGACCCAGTCCCGAGAGCTGAGCTTGCTCTTATTTCTTTTCTTATTTTTGGTGTACTCAGCAACTGTGCTGGGAAACCTCCTCATCATGGTCATGGTGACCTGTGAGTCTCACCTTCACACCCCCATGTACTTCCTGCTCCGCAATCTCTCCGTGTTGGACATCTGCTTCTCCTCCGTCACTGCTCCCAAGGTGCTAGCAGACCTTCTCTCAAGGAGAAAGACCATCTCCTTCAATGGTTGCATGACACAGATGTTTTTCTTTCACCTCCTCGGTGGGACTGACATTTTTTCTCTCTCTGTGATGGCATTTGACAGATACATGGCCATCTCCAAGCCCTTGCACTATGTGACCATCATGAGTAGGGGGCGATGCACAGGCCTCATCATGGCTTCCTGGGTGGGGGGCTTTGTCCACTCCGTCGTGCAGGTTTCTCTGTTGCTCCCACTGCCCTTCTGTGGACCTAATACGGTTGATGGTTTCTACTGTGATGTCCCCCAGGTCTTCAAACTCGCCTGCACCAACACCTTTGCTCTTGAGGTCTTAATGATTTCCAATAATGGCTTGATCTCTACTCTGTGGTTCATCTTTCTCCTCATGTCTTACACGGTCATCTTAACGATGCTGAGGTCCCACACTGGGGAGGGTAGGAGGAAAGCCATCTCCACCTGCACCTCCCACATCACTGTGGTGACCCTGCATTTCGTGCCCTGCATCTATGTCTACACCCGGCCCTTCACTGCCCTCCCCATGGACAGGGCAGTCTCCATCACCTTCACCGTCGTTATCCCTGTCCTGAACCCCATGATCTACACCCTGAGGAACCAGGAGATGAAGTCAGCCATGAGGAGACTGAAGAAAAGGCTTGGACCTTCTGGAAAGGGAGAGATACCATGAAGTCCAGAATGGAAAATCAGAACTGAAAAACATTTTTCTCCTAACACAATAGAAGGCTCCAATCGATAGACCATCTGGAGGCTAAAGTTTCTTCTTTGTCCTACAGTGGAGTCCTCTGACAAGGCTTTCCATGGTCACTTTAGAGTTTTCTCACAGCGAGGTTGTTGGCAACTTAGAGTTTCAGATCTCTGCATTGTTAGCTCCTAAAGAAACTCTAAAGCTTCTATCACCCAAACCTCATTTTAGAGGTGAGGAAATGAAGCCTGCTAGGAAATTATTTCTCCGTTCTTGAGCTATGGCTGTACCACGTGTTGCCCAGACAATAATTAGTAAAATCACTTCCCAGGACCAGGAGTCAAGGCTATAAAATCCAGCAACCTCTCCCTATGAAAAAAAGTTGGTTTTCCATTGCTAATCTTAAATGATTCAAGCTCCGTTTTTCTAAGGAAGCCTTTGGATTCCGCTTGCCAAAGCTGAGAATTTTCATGTTTTATCAAAGATTGCCCAGCACAGTGGCTCATGCCTATAATCCCAGCACTTTGGGAGGCCACCACAGGAGGATCACTTGAGTTCAGGAGTTTGAGACCTGCCTGGGCAACATAGTGAGACATTGTCTCTATCCAAAAAAGTGTCTTAAATTAGACAGACGTGGTGGCTGTGCCTGTAGTCCCAGCTACTTGAGAGGCTAAGGTGGGAGAATGGCTTGAGACTAGGGGGTAAAGGCTGTGGTGAGCCCAGATCATGATGTTGCATCAGTGTTGCCTGGGTGACAGAGCAAGACCCAGTCTCAAAAAAAAAAATCTTCTAGCTAATTAACGGCTGACACATAGCTCCATCTGTAATATCTGACCTTCATTTAAGTGCGTGTTTACTGCTGCTGCTTCAGGCAAGATTTGATACAGTCTGAAACAAGCTCATTTATAAAAATGTCTCCCCTATTGTAACATCATGAAAGGCACTTAGCTGTCCTTTTCACCTGATCAAATAGTACATATTGCAAAGCTTCAGATCCCTCTAAGAATTTTAATGTCATTTTACAGTCATTCATTCCTAGCCAGCCCTGCAGGGAGGAAGAAATCTTATCCTGCCTGCATCTCTAGAATATGCCTAATTCAACTGGGCGTGGTGGCTCCTGCCTGTAATACCAACACTTCGGGAGGCCGAGGCGGGTGGATCACCTGAGGTCAGGAGTTCAAGACCAACCTGGCCAACATAGTGAAACCCTGTCTCTATTAAAAAATACAAAAATTAGCCAGGCATAGTGGTGGGCGCCTGTAATCCCAGCTACTCAGGAGGCTGAGGCAGGAGAATTGCTTGAACCCGAGGCAGAGGTTGCAGTGAGCCAAGATCACGCCACTGTACTCCAGCCTGGGCAACAGAGCTAGAGTCCATCTCAAAAACAAATAAATAAATATGGCTAATTCACATGTCCGCAAGATGCAAAGGCTTAAGAAAACACTTTTCATCATCCAGGGACTGATTAGCTAGAAGATCAGAAAGCAGCCCATTTCAAATTCCTCCTCATTCTTCTTTCTAGTCTGTTCTTTAGCATCTCCTCTTTAATGTAAGGAAATAGAAAACAAGACTAAATTCCAAGTGGTCTTCTAGAAACCTAGTTCTTTGAGAAGCAGATAGTTGAAATTGGTAACAAACTAAAATTTAGACTGGAAATGGTGATTGACCTGTAACATCCCAGTCTTCCCTCCCAGGCAATCCCTGATGTGCCTGTGGCTGGAACCATGTAAGGAAAGTAAAGAGCTTTTTGCACAGTGTGACTGAGGAGGAAACACAAGCAAGGAAAACTTGTCCTAAAGCATGGCCTGTCCCAACCAGGCTTAACACTGCCCACTGTGTCTCTGGTAGTGCTGACCTGAAATTCCTGCTCTTGAAAGATTTAATAAATCACACACAGTTCACAGAGACCATGCTACATACAGTGCCACAACGTCACAAATCATATAGTTCCAGAAAGTCATAGCAACCTGAGCAAACATGGTGGCCGCAAAAGTTTGAGAGGTGGGGGCATGTGTAAGTCTGTTTTGGGTTAATGCCTCTCAAGGGGTTAATTTAACATGGTCTAGGTGACTTAGGGAAGGCCCCAGGAGTCATCCAGAATAAAGGAGATGTAGAACAGAAAAACTTCAGTGAATGGTCCTGAGAGAAACAAATCCAAGCCCAGAGGGTCACAGGTAGCCTGAGGGACCCAATTAGAGCATGGAATGCTTCAGCACAGTGGCCTAGTCAAAGCAAGGCTGACAAAGTTCACGCGTGCTAATGTATGATCCCGGACACATGGGTGCCTTACGAAAGTTAGAGTATCTCTTTATTTTTTATTTCATTATTATTATATTATTAATTTGAGGCAGGGTCTTGCTCTGTCACCCAGGCTGGAGTACAATGGCACAATCACAGCTCGCTGCAACCTCTACCTCCTGGACTCAACCGATCCTCCCACCTCAGTCTCCCAAGTAGCTGGGACTATAGGCACCCTATCACCACGGCTAATTTTGTTATGTTTTTGTAAAGATGGTGTTTCACCGCATTGCCCAGGCTGGTCTGAAGCAAGTCGCCTCCCAAAGTCCTGGGATTCCAGGCATGAGCCACCACACCTGGCCAGAAAAAAAATACCTTTTAAGAATCTGTATTTCCAGGACTGGGCGCGATGGCTCACACCTGTAATTCCAGCACTTTGGGAGGCCCAGGCGGGTGGATCACCTGAAGTCAAGAAGTTCGAGACCAGTCTGGCCAACATGGTGAAAACCCATCTCTACTAAAAATACAAAAATTAGCCGGGTATGGTGGCAGGCACCTGTAGTCTCAGCTACTCAGGAGGCTGAGGCATGTGAATCGCTTGAGCCCAGGAGGCAGAGTTTGCAGTAAACCAATGATTGCCCCACTGCACTCCAGCCTGAGTGACAAAGTGAGACTCCATCTCAGAAAAAAAAAAAGGCTGAAAAAGAAAGAAAAAGTCTGCATTTGCTTATTTCGACTGCTTTATTTCTGCCTAAAATTAAACTATTCATTACACATCTGACATAATTCTTGAATTTTGTATCTAATTACCCACTGAAAAAACTCCAGGTGCCATTCAAACTTCCCTTTGCACCACAGTACAGAAACATGTTCAGCTATTTCCAGTATGTTCCTTATATTATCAACCACAGCAAATATTTTCTTTCTTGTGAATGATTTTTATTGTTAAAAAGTCATGCCTTGGCCAGGCGCGGTGGCTCATGCCTGTAATTCTAGCACTTTGGGAGGCCGAGGTGGGTGGATCACCTGAGGTCAGGAGATCAAGACCAGCCTGGCCATCATGGTGAAACTCCATCTTAAAAAAAAAATTTTTTTAAGTCATGCCTTTCAGAATGGACGCGGTGGCTCATGCCTTTAATCCCAGCACTTTGGGAAGCTGAGGCAGGCTGATCATCAGGAGTTCGAAACCAGCCTGGGCAATACAGAGAGACCTCATCTCAAAAAAATAGTCATGCTTTTCATAAACATTAAACTTACTTTTCTCATACTTTTTGCTGAGTTTAACATTTAGGCTTTACTTTTCAGAGACAAATAGTGAATTGAGAATTCACAAATGACTTCAGTTTCATACACATATTAGAGATATATCTCTCTCTAATATGTGTTATATAACATATGCGTCCTGTGTATGTGTGTATGTTTACATATATACTACTTAATATAAGAAAAATATATAATATGTATTTAATTCTGAAATACTAGCACACAGACGTACACTTTTTACTTTGGCACTATCCCAGGACACACACACACACTCTGTATTTCCTAAGACTATGGTAGTTTTTTGTTTTGTTTTGTTTTTTCTTTGAGACTGTTGCCCAGGCTGGAGAGCAATGGCTAATCTCGGCTCACTGCAATCTCTGCCTCCCAGGTTGAAGCGATTCTCCAACCTCAGCCTCTTGAGTAGCTGGGATTACAGGCACCCACCACCACACACAGCTAATTTTTGTTATTTTTAGTAGAGACAGGGTTTTGCCATGTTGGCCAGGCTGGTCTCAAACTCCTGACCGCAGGTGATCTGCCCGCCTTGGCCTTCCAAAGCGCTGGGATTACAGATGTGAGGCACTGCATCCGCCTAAGACTATGGTGCTTTGGAAATAAGTAGTATACATGAAAATCTACTTCCCATAAAAAACGTGTTCCTCAGCCCGGTGCAGTGGCTCACGCCTGTAATCCCAGTGCTTTGGGAGGCCCAGGCAGGCGGATCATGAAGGGAGAAGACAGAGACCATCCTGGCCAACATGTGAAACGGGATCATCCCTACTAAAAATACAAAAATTAGCCAGGCATGGTGGCACATGCCTGTAGTCCCAGCTACCTAGGAGGCTGAGGCAGGAGAATTGCTTGAACCCAGAAATCAGAGGTTGCAGTGAGCCAAGATAGCGCAGCACTGCACACTGGCCTGGCGAAAGAGCAAGACTCCCTCTAAAAAACAAAAACAAAAAACAAACAAGTGTTTCTTCTTCAAGGTAATGAGAATTGATAAAATTGCGATTGTTATCAAGCAATTGTTGCTTGATTAAATAAAAGTTTAACTTGCATATTCTAATACAAGGTCATTTAAATTTTTGCTAAATTGTTCGACGTCTCTCACATTGGGAAGATGAATTCCTAGAGAACCTTCTCTGGGTTTTATCAAAAGCAGTGTCTACGGAATAAAGTGTTTTTGTAATGTTTTCTCACCACTAGAGGGAGCTATTTATTTTCGGACATTCCCCTGCAAAGTGCGTGCTGTGTTTGAAAATCTTCAAACCGGCCGGGCGCGGTGGCTCAAGCCTGTAATCCCAGCACTTTGGGAGGCGGAGGCGGGTGGATCACGAGGTCGAGAGATCGAGACCATCCTGGTCAACATGGTGAAACCCCGTCTCTACTAAAAATATAAAAAATTAGCTGGGCATGGTGGCGCGTGCCTATAATCCCAGCTACTCAGGAGGCTGAGGCAGGAGAATGGCCTGAGCCCAGGAGGC